ACTGACTGGGAAATGAAAAAGAACATTCAAAGCAAAAGGGTCTGCAAAAGTAAAGACACTGAGAAATGTACATTAAACCATTTCACCTACTTGTCTGGTTAAAAACCCAAAGCTTTGATGAATTACTTAGGGAAAAACAGGCATTCTAATACATTGCATGTGAAAATAAACATTGGTACGTTTAAGGGAGGCAACTTGTCAATATCTATAACAATTTCATATGTGCATGCCTTTTTATTCAGCAATTCTACTTTTAGATACTTAGCTTGATTTATGCACATATGAACACAAATGTTATTCATTGCAGAATGTATAACAGAAAATTAAACCAACTTAAGTAATACACACATACATAATGGAATAACATAACATATACTATTTAAAAAAAATTAAAAATGCTCTTTGTGACAATCTCAACACATACAAACTAGGAAAATAAAAAAGGTATAGAATAGCCTAAATAGCATGCTGTCATTGAATAAAAAGTATATTTTAATGTGTTTATTTGTCTCTATGGATTATTTTTGGAAGGAAACACAAGAAATTAATAACATTGGTTACTTCTAGGGACAAAAATTAAATGACAGATGACAGGAATAAGAGAGACTTCACTGTATAATATTCTGTGTCTTTTAGTATGGTACTGATTCATAAATAAACCAAATTAAATCAGCACAACCTAAAAGAAATTAAAGAAATTCAAAATTACCAGAATATGAAGTTTAAGACAAGAACTTATCAGAAATGAAGCTTGAGAAGTCGGCAGCAGCCCCAATTTCAAGATGGGATTAGATGAGCATACTGAATATCATGAACTTTAACCTACAAAAGTGTTTCTCAAGGTGTGTTCTGAGGACCATTTTGCAGACCTGGGGAACTGGTTAAAAATGCAGGTCCCTGGGATTCTGCCAAAGATTAAGAAATCTTAAGAATGTATAATAGTTCAGAGAAGCAAAATTTGGAAATTCTCCACAAACTGAATTAGAATCTTGAGAGTTAAGGTTAGGACATCTATAGTTTAACAAGTTCCCTAGATGACTAAAGGTTATGAGGAGCTTCTGAGGGGTTCTACGCAAAGGAGTAAAGTGGCCAGGTGGTAACTTTAGATAGACCACTTGGAAGCCAGTGTCTGGAGGATGTAAAAGGGGCAAGGCTCAGTTACAAGGTTCTGGCATTAATCCAGATTATGTTCTTAAATGTGATAAATACTCACACTGCATATCATGTGACAAAATTATTATCCACCCAACAGCTACAACTTTGAGCCACACCATCTTTTTCAAAGTCAAAGTGAAGGAAATAAAATCCAAGGTGTTGTACTTTCCAAATCAGCTAACAAGGCAACAAGTAGGAATAACTTAATCTAATAATAGAGGGGACTATTAAATGAAACTATTCTGACCCATTATAATTTGTTTTTTTTTATCTTGCTAGAGGGCACATGCACTCATCAGCAAGAGACATAAAGAGAAAGAGGAGAGTGAGCATCCCCCCATGGGGGATAGTTACACTGTAATCCCTTCTCTCCATTTCTCCTCTCCGGATTTTGTGGACACACCCATACATACCTAGTGTGTTTTCCAAGCCACCCGGCACAGGACTTAAACCATACAGCTGGTCATATGGGATTCACCCTGCAATTGGCTGCCCCTCTTATTATGAATTCAAAGAAAAAAAAAAAAAAAACTAAAACTTGGAGCCATTAAAGAAGGTAGCTTAGATCAACAGGTGGTGAGGTGGATTCCCACATGGCCAACCAGTTTCAGTCCTGTGGTCTCTTTTCCCTCTCTCTGTCGCTCTGTCTCTTTATGGTGAGCACACAAGTCCTATGGCAAAAGTCTAAAAAAAAAAAAGAAGATAGACTCTAATGATGTGAGACTTCAAAAGGAAGAATAGAAGATGGAAACTACTGCTTTATTTGCTATATAAGATATTTTTTAGCCAAATTTATTGGAGTTTATTAAGCCGGCAGCTTACAAGGGACTCATGTCTCTCAACATCCCGCAGCCTCTATATAAGATTTTTAAATAAAACCTTTTGTTTTGCCCACGAAGTAAGTTTCTGTGAATGTCCTTTTCGAATCAGTTGTATTTCATTAAATGTCTAGTTTGTGAATGTCACAGACCCAGATTAATACTACTTCCACACGTGCCAACAGCTACAACTCTTACAATGTAGGCAAACTGTATTAATAGTTTTATTTTAGCCTTTGCAAGGTCCTGAAACATAGAGGGGCAAATGAAATCCTGGACTAAAAATCCTGTATTCACAATTAGTTGGTCAACCAGTGGAGGAAAAGGTAAGCCTCAAAAATAATGCATCATAGCCAAGAAGTCTAAACTCTGACCCAGTTTGAAGGATAGAAATCAGTTCTGTATATGCTTTTTCAACTAAAAAATATTTCCTCTGATTGTTTATGTCTCTATGAAGTTAGGAAACCATGAGACTTCACAGTATAAAATTATACTAGCGCTCCATTCTTAAAGTTCCATTTGCATTTTAACAAGCAACCTATAGAGACTGATTTTTACTTAGAATAAAATGTATTTTTTAAAAAAGCACTACAACAAAAGAGAAGGCTTTGATACAAAAGCAAGTGACCATGACGCTGTAGACATAGCATCTATGGTGTCTGAAGATTCAAATACAATAACTACTTAGCCACTTTCTTTAATATCCAATTCACATGATTCATATTCCTTAGTATTTTTTTTTTAGCCCAGCCATACAGCAAATAATACTAATCAATCTCACCACTCCTAGTAAAGAATCCCATTTTAAATTAACTTCTCACTGCCCAGTATATTCTTTAGGTCTGTTCCTGATCTCATCTGGGCTCTACCTAATGTCACTGCATTCTGAGTACTGCCTTAATACAAATGATAAGACAAAATTAAATCAGTAAGGAACTAATTCAAAATAATTGTAACAACAACAATATCAATAGCAACTATAGTATTCATTGCCTGGCAATTATAAACCTGTATTTTACAGTCCAGGAGTTAAACTTCAAAATAAAACTTTTTTATCTCAGATAGCATTACACAGCAATAGACAAATATTTACCTATTAACGATTTCTCTATTCAGAGTGGGTACACCAGGTAGTTTGATTTTTAAAAAGTTATTTATTTTCCGTACATTTTAAGTTTTTTGTTAGTGGTAATCAATTACAGTTCAGAGGTCTAACAATTAAATCTAATTCAGATACCACTCATTTTCTTGAGGCCTTGAAAACATGATCTCAAGTTTCAAAATGCCAATACTTTTTAGAAAGGACCTTGAAGGCCAGCTAGTCCAACCGTAGCATTACACATACTGAACTGTATGAAAATATTTTCAAAACTGATAATACCAGACAAAAAAGTTATCACTATCACCTATTAGGTCCAGAGAAGTTAAAAACACATAAGAAGTTAACCACATAGAACCAGGGCCCAGAACTTTGAGCTCCTGACTCTATCTCACTCTCTGAGCGTGCCAATTGAGTGTACTATTTAAATTGTTCCAAGGGGATTCAATTGTATAAAGAACATATTTACACATACGTGGCATTTGGCAATTTCTAAATGATAGACCTTGTAAAACTAGGAATATACCCAAAGGACACAACCCTTCCCCCATCAGAAAGAATATACTTTCTTCTGACATTACCATTCCCTGCTTCACCCCAATTTCACTTCCTAATACAAAACAAACTCAGTTACCCTAACCTGTTCAAACTGCTGATTTATTCTTTAATTGATGCTAGCATGTTCTCTAAGTGCTACCTTCCAACATCAGGAAAGGAGAGGAAACAAACCTACACTTATATTTCCAACAGGTGAATGCAGGGACCATCCAAGAACCCATCAAAGAATTAACTGATCAATCAATTAATTGCTACCACACTGCATATCTAAGATAATTACAATTTCATTTGGCTGTAGCAACAAAATAACTTTACGTAAAATTCCATATGATACCAGACCTCTAGAAAAGACTACTTTCGCACAGAATTAAACTAGATTATGGCTGCACACAATTCATTCCAAAGCCTTTTGGTGCACAATACCAACAACTAGCTATTTCCAATGGAGATTTTTCTGGACATGTCGTTTGCGACAGTATTGTCACTCTCCACTCTCGTTTTCCTAAAGTGGATGGGCGTGCACATGAATTTGGAAATTTCCAAACAAAGGAGAGGTTAAAAAAAAGGGCTTCTTTTTGGCTGGGATCTATATACTTTTGAAACATTAATAAATATGCCAAGCAGTCTATTCTGGAGGTATTGCTACACTAGAGATGTAGGTTCTTTATTTCATACACTACCTGGTTTACCCGCCCCTTGTCTGACCTTTCTACCTAGGAACATATACTCAAGTCAAACTTTCTCCCCTGCCCTTCCCAGCACCAAAGACACCTGTGCTATTAAAACAAGCGTGTCAGATGACCACGTTCCAGAGTTGAAAGGCTAGCCCACAAGAGCTTTCCCGAGTGCCCCAGGCCTCTCAGTAGTGCAGAGTAAAAGGGGGTGTGTCCCCAGGACCAAGGTATTTTCCACAGCTCGCAGCGGTGCCCACCGGCCCCCTTTCTTGGGGTCTAGAAACAGCTCTAGAGAGCTGTTCCCAAGGCTTTCCACTCTCAGGATAGCGGCCCACCGTCCTTGGAGCTGGAGTTGCTATTCCCAATGAGAGGGTGAGGGTGGGAAGAGTATGAGTGAAACCCCCCAACACCTCTCACCCTACGGGGACATCAGCAGCCCCTTTTCCCCCACCAAAGGCTTCCTCTCGGGGTACCTCTCCTTGGAGGTCTCTACACTAACACTGAACCTATTCCTGTGTGTGACAAACTCACACAGGCACACAGGCGAGAAGGGCCCAAGGTTCTGAAAGGCGCAGGCGGGCATCTCGGGTGCTCTTGGGACGATGAGTCGCCCAGAGACGTCTCGTGCGAGGGGGCAAGTTGCCCCCCCCCCCCCGCCAAAGCCGAGTCACAACGGCAGGGGCCGCCGGGACCCACCAGCTGCTTCAGGTCCTCCTCCGAGAGCTCCGCGTAGCGGTACCGCTGCTGCTCGAACTCATACCAGGTGGTTTTGGCCACCACCACCACCCGGG